CTTCTTCTTTCTTTTTTTCTCGGCTGGAGATGGATGTTAATGCTGATGAGTCAGAGTGTCAGACAGTGATTAGAGTGAGGTGGTATAAAAATAGTAGCACAGTAAACGGTTACGGTAGTGGTGGTGGTGGTGGTGGTGACCCCAGCAGCAGCAGCAGCAGCAAACCCGTTGTCACTTTCCATTGCTAATTCAATTGATAAATCGACTTTGCTTTTTTCCTCTCCTCCTCTCTTTCTACTTTTCCACTTTGGCTAATTGCAAATGCCGCCGTTATTTTAACGGCACTCTCTGCGGCTTTTCTCACCCCTTAGCTTTTTCTTCTTCTTTTTGAAGTTTAACACAAAGTTAAAATTACACACTGTTTNTTAAAATTACACACTGCTTTGAGCGCAGGGAACTGAGAAGAGAGAAAGAAGGAGATAAAACCGAGCTTTACACCTGAAACACTGTGATTTGAGTAGTGATGAGTACTCTTTCTTTCCATCTCTTTCTTTCTCCCATTGAGGCAAATGGTTGCGGTGTCATTGTGCAAGGTCTCTCTCTCTCTCTCTTGTCTGAAGCGTCAGAGTACGATGCTGCTGCTGCTGATTACCCAGAGACATTGTCTCTAAAAAGAGCAGCTAATGAGGATGATGAGTGTACAGTTTGATGGTGGTGATGGTAATGGCCATTGCCATCACCACTGCTAGAAAAGAGAGATGATCACTAATCAGAGTACTGGTAGTAAAACCAGTGCTTATCAACAGACGCGTGCTGTACAGTGTGTGGTGAGCAATCGAGCTTTTTTCTTTTCTTTTTATTAGTTTTTTCCCATTTTCCTATGTTATTTTACGCCGACAAGATCGCTGCTGACGAGACACAGTTAAAAACACTTTTGGAAAGCAAAACACTAACTCTCGTTTTACATCTTTTTTGCAGGCACTGTGAATCATCAACAGCAGATTGTACCTCCACCACCACCACCACTTCCAAAAATGGGACTACTAAAAAACTCCACCGCTAACACTACCAACAGCAGCTCATCACCCTCAAAGCCCTCGAATAAGAAGAAGAAAGGCATTACCTTTCAGGAAGGTGAACCGGTGGTGATCTACCGAGAAGCTTCTGACTCCGAGGAGGAGGAGGAGTTCTTTGAGTTGTCGCTAAAATCTTCAGAGCTGAACTCCTCTTCCAAAGAAAAATCACCATCACCTCCATCATCTCAAAATTCTACAGCCGACTTTGACGAGGAGCACGACCCTGAGCGGATAAAGCTGCGCCAGCTGACAGAGGCCAACACCTTCTTCAACTCAAATTACGCCAACTTTAAGCTGACGGAGGCGGCCTCGGTGGGCCTTGGCCGGCAGTCAAAAAATTCAAACAGTTCTTGCGGTCCGATTAAGTTTGTCATTCAGGATGGCTACCAGCAGCCGCTGCCGCCCACCAAGTACAAGGCCGCCGCCAATTTGAACTTGAAAAAGACCTCTTTTGAGGAGAAAAATAATTGTGATAATAAAACTGGAGCGAAGCCCACCAGCACAGTAGTCAAGCCCACCTCTGCTCCGCCGCCACTTCCGCCCACGACCGTTTCTTCGAAACCAATCGTCAGCCTAGCTAAACCGGTCATTGAGGCGAAAAAGCCATCGGTCCTGGTTGCTCAGTCATCATCCCCATCCTCACCACTGAAATCATCCCCATCACCCTCATCTCCCTTANATTCGCATTCCCCGGGCGGCCATCAACGCCGACAAGCTAAATCGGTCACCACCGCCGGCCTTTGCCAACAGCAACAGTGCTAATCCACTGAAGCAGGCGTTGCTGGAGAAGACGCCCACAGCTACTACTAAACCCGAAAAACCACCGAAAAATACCTCACTTTCAAAGCCGACGGTTGAAAAGCCAGCTAAAGAGGCTTCACCACCGCCACCGCCACCTGCAAATATTATCAAACCGCCCTTTGATACCACCGACTCAGCATTACCACCACCACCTAAGCCTGAGCATCTTGTACAGCAGCAGCAGCAGTCGTACAATTCAGTCAGTTTGTTAGACGAAAACGACGGCACCATTCTCCCGTTGGACACTCAGAAGCTGCCTGAAGAGCTGAAGNGAGAAATGGCAGTAAACAGCAGCAACAACAACAGCTAACGGATCCTCAGCAGCAGCAACAACTGCCGGAAAAAATACCCGAAAAATTACCCAAAAAGTCAATGAAAGAAAAGCTGTCCTCAAAATCTGCGGCTGAGGACTGTTTCTCTGACGATAGTTCCGCTTCGGATTCAGGCGCCAGCGGCTGTTCACCTAATTCAGCAAGTCCGACGGCTCAGTTGCTCGAAGATGA